AACATTCCCTGAAAATAGAGCTTATGAAGAATCACTGGAAGAAGCTCTTTCTAAAAAGGAGTCCCCATAAACTCCTTCCATTTCTGAATCATCAATCAGAGAGCAGATCAAGTACTGTTGTTGAGAATCATGCTCTTGCCTAATATCACTTACGCTAGCTAGATCAAGTACTGAAGCTGAGTATCACGCTCTTGCCCACACTACTATTGAATTACTCTGGTTATTATCACTTTTCAATGAGCTTACAATATTGTTGCTTCCTCCCACTCTTTTGAGTTATAAACTCAGTGCAATCCAATTATTCCACAATCCAATACTTCATACTCGCACAAAACATATTGAAATTGATATACATTTCGTTCATGAGCGTATCATCTCTTAGAAGATGAAGATTCAACATGTTTTAAGCTCCTTGCAACTTGCAAACACTCTCACGAAACCCCTTGGCACGACTGTTTTTTAAGACCTTCGCACTGAGTTCAAAGTCACGACCTTTGTCCTTTCTTAAGCTTCTGGAGGAGCATTAGAAGAAGTAGTAGCTTGTAGACTATGGCATCTAGTGTTGCATGAGAATATAAGTTATATGTTTGGTAGTATAAACTTAACATACATATGATGCTATAAAACTATAAATATTAAAGCATTACTTTCGTAAAAACTCAACTCATTAATGTATAATACAACGAAATTTAAAGATAATTCTATCAGTTAGAGAGGATCACAATAGACGATAAATTTTTTTATAAAAAATTTAACACAATTAAGTGCATTATATTAGATTTCGAAATACAAAATCATCATAATTCTATTGTTTTATGTGCATTTTATAAAACAAAATAATAAAAAAATATAAATAAAATAAATAAAAAACTATTATAAAAAAACATATATACACGACTGAATAATGTCTCAATGTATTTTTTATAATAGAGAAACTAGATCCAACATTTAACCAACTTAGGCATCTAATATTCTGTAATGTCAACTATCATTAATTAGTTTTAATAATATTATTATGATGCCATTAAAGATTTGTGATGATGACATCTTCATCTAACTTTTATCAAATGACTCTTACTCACATCAACATCTCGGTTCTTGTGAAAATATGTTTCAGTTATCAAATATATAATTTGATTATTTGAAGGTGTCAAAAATCGAAAATAAAGAAAAAGAAAGGACTGAATTGCAAAAAAGAAAAAGAATAAAAGGCGAGTGAGAACAGAAGAGAGCCCAACATCACTCATTCACAAATTCTGCCATCGACTCATCGATCTGTAGTCGACGACGAACATGGCCTCACATCTCTGCAAATCCGCTTCCAGAGCCGCCAGGTCTCTTCTCTCCGCTTCATTTCACTCTCGTAAGTTCCATTTCTCATTCTCTCACGTCTCTGATTCATATCGATTCAAAATGTATTTAGATTTTGTTATCCTGAATCTGAGATGTATTGTGTTGATAGAAGGACGCGCCGTAGCGGCGGCTGCAGCTGTTGCATCCATTAGAAAGGTTCCGGTTTATGCTTCAAATTATGGGAGAACTGGTTCTGGAAATGGATCCAGCTCCTGGATTGCAGGAGCACTCACTCTTCCTGCTGCAGGTTCGGTTCAATTATCTATCGTAACAATATAGCTGTTTTTGTATAGATTATTATTTGATATTACATATTAGAGTATATTATATTTTCCTATCAGATCTTATCATGTGTATCATTTTGAGAATTACAGATTTGGATTTTTGCATTAACAAATTCAACTCGAGATGTTTGATTCAATATTAAATAATTAATGTATCTGGACTATATATGGACCAGATACCTATATTTTTTTGATGTATCTAGAAAAATAAAAACTAAATTGGTTTATTTTCCGCACTTCTTTTAGAAATGGAAGAGGAGCCTTGTACCTTGCTTGATATTAGCATTGTAGCTTCCGAGACCTCTTCTATATCAATTGCACTTTACTCCACCAAAGGGAATAAAATTATGGATTTGGATGTAGTATATAGAATTTATTACTTCCAATTGATATCCCTACATCTTGACATTAACCCATTTTTAATCTTCAATTAAGCCTTAAACAAATTCTCAACGGTTTACTTTATCACTTTATGTTTTGAACAAATTCTCTATGGTTTACTTTATCACTTTATGTTTTGAATCTGTCGGTTGCTTCTCAATGTTACACAGTATAGAAAGGGAAGTTGTACTTACCTCTTCTAAAGTATACTTTAATAGTACAACACCCTTCTATTTGTTTTTATATAAATCTTAATCATCCTTATTTGTTGAGAAAATTGGATACTTCTCTTGGTTCTGTTTAAATGACATTATCTTTAATTTTTAGACAGTAGAAGAGAGATGTATGCAATTGAAAAGGGTCAATTTGTTTTTACAAAATTGAAAAAAGTCACTGTATGTTCAGCCTGATATAATATTCAGACTTTAACTGGATATTCAACTAATAATTCTATTTTATTCTGTGTTCTGCCTTGTAGCTTACATGCTCCAAGATCAGGAGGTGCATGCTGCAGAGGTATGCATAACTTGTCTTTATCTGGATCTGCATGTCTATCTTAATACTTAAACTCCTGTCTTTGTTTTCTTTCTTTGTTTTTTGGTATGACTAAAATATGCTAATCATGTGTTTACCTTTTCCTATTCAGCTGGAGCACACTTTCATTGCCATTAAGCCTGACGGAGTGCAGAGAGGGCTGGTAAAGTGAAAACTACTACATTTCTTACACTTCTTAATGATTTGTTTGTGAAACAGTGTGGTAAAGGCAATGCAATGCCTATGAAACACTGACACACGAACACGACACTAACATATAGGCATCCGTAATTATTTACTAAAATAAAAGTGATCGGATGTAACTGCGTGTGTCGGTGTTGTGTCGCTGTAGACACTTCACACACTTTCTGTGACGTGTCTGTGCTACATAGTGCAATGCAACTTCTTCTACTCGTCTGAGATGAAAATTTAAACTGTTAAAAGTTTTTGTTTTTGTTTTTCAGATTTCAGAGATTATTTCTCGTTTTGAGAGGAAAGGGTTCAAGCTTGTGGGAATCAAAGTATTGATCCCTACAAAGGAATTTGCCCAACAACATTATCACGATCTGAAAGAAAGACCCTTCTTCAATGGATTGTGCGACTTCCTGAGTTCTGGCCCTGTTATTGCAATGGTTAGAAATGATTCAACCACTGTAACCTTGTGAATCAACCAAACAAGCAGGTGTTTATATTTCTAACCCGTGTTTTATGTTTTCCAAAAATTAATGTCATAGGTATGGGAAGGAGAGGGAGTTATTACCTACGGCCGTAAACTAATCGGAGCCACAGATCCACAGAAATCAGCGCCTGGAACCATTAGGGGTGATCTGGCTGTTGTTGTTGGAAGGTAATACAATACTACTCCCTCCATATTATATTAAAAAGTAAATTCATATAATATTTTATGAATAAACTTAGTTAGAACCAAAAAAATATGCTAGTTTTCTTTATCTCTCTATATTTGTTAATCATATAATGCTATTGTTGCAGGAATATCATCCACGGAAGCGATGGTCCAGAGACTGCCAAGGATGAGATTAAGTTGTGGTTTAAGCCAGAGGAATTGGTTAGTTTCACTAGCAATTCAGAGAAGTGGGTTTATGGCGACAACTGAATTGGTTGTGTTCCTCCTTCTACATGATTGAGTTTTCGGGAAAAAATAAATTATTATGTCAGGAAACGGCAATACTGAACTCTGCGAGCCACCGATAAGGGGCTGAGTATAATAATGTTAGTGCTAGCATACATGTCATTCAGATAGGAATTGTATTGTATTGTTTCATTATCTGCCTTCTTCAGTTTGGTGAAGACAATTTGCGACAGTTTATTTGTCTGATGTTATCAATAAGTCAAAACAGATTAGGTTAAAATTCTTTTTTCAAAAAAATATAATGATCATTTGGTTATCCTATTTGAAGAAAAGCTGTAATTGTGTTGGATGCTTCGTGTCATCAACAACAAAACATGTTAAACCTAGTAAATATTTTCGTAACCTTGTCCAGGAAGCTCTAAAGTAACTATCCTCTAAAAAAACAATTTGTAGGAATTCTACCCACAACAATTGCAAGGCAAAAAACACATGCCTTTTGAGTATAATAACTTTTTCACTACTTGAATAGAACAAAGATCTTGAATAGAACAAAGATCTCACTGTTGCTTTGAGGATACTATAGTAAGTTGGTGTATTCACAGTGAAAGCCCCCATTCAAACCACCCTGCCAACACCTATATCTTCATGGGGTGGGATGATTGAGAAGCAGAGGACAGTGTAGAAGACAACTGCACAACTCTTGAGATGACCAACAAAATCCTTTTTTGTTGAAACGAAATATAATCCGTGGGATTAGACACGGCAACAAAACCCGTAATCGCACGGACCCTTCAAACCGCCCCATGTATGAAATTATTTAATGGTATAAGATATGTGTAAGATATGTCATTAGTGGAAGAATAGACTAGACATTCTAACGTCATCCAATGACATTCCAAGATGCTTTTGATGTGAAAATTTAAAAGCTATGAGTTGACATTTAAACATTATAATGGGTTTTTGATGCAATTTTCCTTGACGTGACGCAGTACCAAACACAGTATCATGGTAAATAATTTCACTTGAAATTTTAACTTGAGAAGATACATTCAACTTGAAAAAAGGATGCAAAATATGTATTTAACCTGGGAAGATACATCCAACTTGAAAAAAAGGTGCAAAATAACATAATATTCATTGAGTAATTATTGACGGAAAGATAAAAAAGAAAAAGACAGTGTCTTCATTGGTGCTATATAATCCATGCATTGACCGAATATATCACCTCCACCATCAACACCTAAAACCATAACTATTTAAAATTCAATCAAGACCTAAACAAATGAAGTGAAACAAAAAGTGCATTAATCATCTTGTGCTATGCCACCTCCAAAGCTGCATACTAAAAAAACATGTTTTCAAATTGGCAAAGTCAAATTCAGAGCTTCTCTTTGACATTCTAACAATGACCTTCCGTCTTCCAACATAATACTAGCGGACGGAGTATTTCTTATGCAGCCAGCATGAGTCTGAAATCCAATAATATTGAAATGATCATGACAACAATCACAAACTATACCATCAAAAACTATACTCCCAATTTTGACAATATTGTTACTACCACGACAGAACACATTAGTCCCTGGAACTAAAACTCGATTCTTTACCAACCAAACAAATGTTCGTTCTTCTCTTTTTCCAAAGACTTGTGAATTATCCTCCAAAATACTCACATTTGATACTTTTTCATTTTGATCCAACCAAGAAACAAATGTCCGTTCTTCTCTTTTTCCAAAGATTTGTGAATTATCCTCCAAAATACTCACATTTGGTACTTTTTCATTTTGATCCAACCAAGAAACAAATGTCCGTTCTTCTCTTTTTCCAAAGACTTGTGAATTATCCTCCAAAATACTCACATTTGATACTTTTTCATTTTGATCCAACCAAGAAACAAATGTCCGTTCTTCTCTTTTTCCAAAGATTTGTGAATTATCCTCCAAAATACTCACATTTGGTACTTTTTCATTTTGATCCAACCAAGAAACAAATGTCCGTTCTTCTCTTTTTCCAAAGACTTGTGAATTATCCTCCAAAATACTCACATTTGATACTTTTTCATTTTGATCCAACCAAGAAACAGATGTTCGTTCTTCTCTTTTTCCAAAGACTTGTGAATTATCCTCCAAAATACTCACATTTGGTACTTTTTCATTTTGATCCAACCAAGAAACAAATGTTTGTTCTTCTCTTTTTCCAAAGACTTGTGAATTATCCTCCAAAATACTCACATTTGATACTTTTTCATTTTGATCCAACCAAGAAACAAATGTTCGGTCTTCTCTTTTTCCAAAGACTTGTGAATTATCCTCCAAAATACTCACATTTGGTACTTTTTCATTTTGATCACAACCCTCTAAATTCTTATCCATTATACTCATATTTGATACCTTTTGTCTTTTATAAGGAGGTAGTGAATTAGTAACTTGTGATTTACAAGTACTCACATGTTTCTCATTTACCTTTGATGCTGGAATTGTTGTAACATCACATTTTTGAAGAGAAAATGAAGTAAAGGCTTCAGGATCCTCATTGAAAGTTGATTGATCGATTTCTCCAAAATCTCTCACCCGTTTTTTCAAATTTAATGGAGACGAAGGAATTGTTACTGATGGTGTGATGGAACCACCATCTTCAAAAATTGTTGTTGATGGTACTTGTACACTTGTTGAAGACTGCATGGCGGAACAACCGCCATCTTGAATACAACTCTCACATGCCTTTCTAAGAGATATATAATTTTTTCTATTTAGAGGTGAAGTATAACGCAATTCCCACTTACCCTTTTTGTTAACATACCAAAACTCCCACTTCAAATAAACCAGATGTTGTTTTGCTTTCAAAGCCAAATCCTTTCTTTTCAGACTCTCTTTACGATCTTCTAAACCTGTTAATCGGTACCACTCAATCACAGCTTCTGGACAATACTCAGCTTTGATATCAATTTCAGGAGCTGATGAACGACTTGCCATATCAAAATCTTCACTTATATACCTATCTGAAAAAACATTATTTTACTCTTATTACAACGTTAAATAGTTTGAGACACAAATTTTACCTATGTTGCAACTTTAGCAAGAAATTCTACATCATCCATTAATGCCTTACATCATCTATATGTTGCATATTATTCTTCACATAATAAAATTGAAAAATATACACCAATATCACAAAGCCAAACTCAATGATTTTTTATAAAATCTATAACGCTTTTATCATTTCATTCAAATATAAAAACATTATAAAAAACTCACCTAATATGGAGCACTTTCGGTCTTTGAATTTGTAGCAGTACACTTTGAAGGTTTAAGAATGAGAGCCATTGGAAGACAAGGGTTTGAATCTTTTGTTTTTAATTGGTAACGTACTGTTTTTTAGGGTTTCTATTATAAAGAAGGAATAGGAGGCATTTCTTCTCTACAAAGCCCAAAAAGGATGAATTTAAATGATGTTTATTGTATCGTATTTGACCTCTAACATGATTTTATAGAAATTTTATTATAAGGAATTTTCAGAGTATACTCTGACATTAAATTAAATTAAATGAAAATTTACATCAAACAAATTTGAATCACTTATTTTTCAAAAAATGAATATATAATGGGTATTAATTGATATTTTTGTATCAAAATGCACAATTATTATTCATTAAGGATATCATTTTACTAATTTTTTTAAAATATATTATTTTAATTTTTCAAAAGATATTACTTTAAGATGATTTGTTATGAATTAAATTTATATTAATTGATACTATAATTTCTTGCTGTGGTTCATAAATTATAAAGTTGATGTGTTGTGATTGAATTTTCCGTGAAAAAATATTTACACTATTATTGTATAGAAATTAATTGCATTTAATATTTTAAAATATTTTTATGTTCAAAAAAATCTAAAAATTCTAAAAGAAAAATTTATTTTTACATTTTCTAAGTATTTATAAATATTTTAAATTTATAAAGAGATTAATTGAAATATAATGTCAGTGTAAAATCACTCTACAATGTCATTCAATCAGACAAATCGTTTACACCTAAGTATGAAATTAAAAATAATAAATTAATTATAATTAAATCATTTTAATAACTATTTCTTTTATATTTTTCTTTTTTTTCTTGTGTCAAAATGATTAATTCTAATTGGATGATAGGATAAATGATTTTACGGTGAACGTGTATTCGAATTAATCTCATCTATAAATATTCAATCACTAATAACTATTTTTAGATTTTCTAGTCAAAACAATATATGTTTTGAAATTTTGAAATTTCTTTTTTACAAAAGCAAACTTAACCCATATCATTAATTAAATGATGTTTGGTATAAGGAAGAATCAAATGGAAAATATTACGCCTAGTTTAATAATTGACCGCATTCGCTAACGAGTGGTCAATCAAATTCGCTTGATGCTTGATAAACTTAATCTCAAAATTAGGATAAAACTGTAACAAATTATGTAAAGATATAATAATTAGGCTAGACTCAAAACTACCCCTATGTTTGGACCGGAGCGCTTGAACCATCCTTTGAGAGTCGCTTTCGAAAATGATATTTTGCAGATTCAAAGTTATAACTCCCTGAATAGATTTTTTAAGGGCCATGACTTCTGCTTCTATAATAGAATGAGCACCAAAATCCTAAGATACACTTGCAATATAAATCTACCAAGGTTATTTCTGACACACCAGCCTCTGTTAGTGGTACCCCTTTGATTATTGAAATTTTCTAATTAAAATAATAACAACTTTGAAAATTTAGTATGATGGTCAATTTGTTTGAATACACTAAATACAAGAAGTGAATGTGTTAATAATACTACTCTACCAATACAAACTTGTAAGTTCCAAGCACCGCCTCCCTTCTTTCTTCAACCTTAGTTTTTTCCTTTTCTTCATCCACAAAAAAAGTGTAGTTTTTGGGTCAATTTTTAATCTAAAATCACTCCTCTAATTGTTAAATTGTAATTCCTGTGTGTCGAAACTATGTGTGTCGAAGGGTTAGAGGTTATCGAAGAGGTTGCTTGATAGAAACCATTACCCAGTCGAAGAGCTTGTGTATCGAAGCAGGTTGCACACATATTTGATTTTTAGATTTAGATAGATTTGATTTAGGTCTAAAATAGATATTTTGGACTTTTATAGTTTTGGGCTTTGACTTACGGAGCAAGCTAACCTAAATCTATAAATAGAAGGAGTAACCCCTATTTTTTTAATCAAGTCAATTAAGTTGTATTCTCAGAATTTGCAGTTGCAAGTGAATAACAAAATTTTCTAAAGTTTGTAGGCAGAGAGAAACTCTGCATAAATAATCATTGTTTTCTTTTCTCTTATATTTTTCATTATCATTGTATGGTGATAATAATTTTGTTCATCAATATTGATAGAAATTCGTCATAGATTTTGGTGAATTTTCAACATCTGATATCAAGAGCTCCGATTGAGTGATCCAAGGGAAGTACTGATCAAGAATGATTGAGAAAGAAGAAGAAGAACTCACGATGGCAGTGAGTTATGGGAACTCGAATTATCCAACAACTCTACTAATTCTGAAACCAGACAACTATGAGAATTGGTGCAAACAAATGAAAGTTTTATTTTGGTGTCAAGGTCTTTGGAATCTTGTAAAGGAGGGATTAGAAGCGCTCAGAGAAAACGCTTCAGAAGAAGAAAAGAAGAAACACACAGAATCGGAGAAGCTGAGTTATAAATAACTCTTTATAATTCATCAATGTCTGAGTCCAGAAAATTTTGAAAAAGTGAGTGATTCAGAATCTGCAAAAGAAGCTTGGGAGGTTCTTGAGAAGTCTTTTGGTGGTGCAGAAAAGGTGAAAGAGGTGAGGTTACAAACTCACAAGAGAACGTATGAATTACTTCAATTGGAAGATAGTGAGAGCATATCTGATTTTTTCACTAGGGTTACAAAACTAATGAATTAAATCAAAGTATGTGGGGAAACATTAACAACAAGAGTTATTGTTTCAAAGATATTGAGATCTTTGGCTCCTAAGTTTTACCATGTGGTGGTGGCTATAGAAGAGAGGAAATACTTGTCGAAATTGACAAAGGAAGAGCTTTAAGGGACGCTTGAATCTCATGAAAAAAGAATGACTGAAAGAGCTATAAGCAAGTCGAAGAGTGATGTGGCTTTGCAGGTACATTCAGCAAAAGAAACCAAAGGCAAATGAAAGTGGTTCGATAGAGGTAGAGGTGGCTACAATAATTCAACTGGTAGAGGAAACCAGAACGAAGGAAATGTGTCGAATCATAGTAGACCATACCAAGGAAACCAAAGAGGTGGTGTTGCAGATAGAGAAAGAGGTGGTGGTCAAAAACCTGACAAGAGTCACATTCAGTGTTACAATTGTCAGAAGTATGGCCACTATTCTAATGATTGTCTAGAAAAGCGAAAGAATCAAGAAAGTGATGCAAAATTCGTAAAGTATGAAGAAGAAGAGATGATGCTGATGGTCACAAAAAAAGATGAAGATAGATTCAAGGACCAATTGTACTTGGATTCAGGATGCTCATCACACATGCCTGGAAGGAAAGATTGGTTTGTCAACCTAAAATTCTCAATGAAGAACATGGTGAAATTTTCAAATGACAATACTCTAGCAGCTGAAGGTATTGAAGATGTTCTGATTATGAGGAAAGATGGCAAGAGGTCAGTAATTTCCAATATGTTATACATACCAAGCATAAAGAGCAATTTGCTTAGCATAAGGAAGTTGGTCGAAAAGAATTACAAAGTGTTGGTCGAAGACAAGATGATGGGAGTCGTTAACGCAAATGGAAGATTAATATTGAAGGCTCATATGTCTCAAAATAGGACTTTCAAGATTGAACTTAATGTGTTTGAGCACAAGTGCCGACTACAACTAGCAGAGACGAATGAATATGGCACTATCAGTAACACCCCAATTTAATTAGAATTATTTTTAATTAAATAATTAGATGATGCAGTGTATTTTTATGAATTAGTGGATTTTATGATATAGTGTGATGTCTTTGTTGATGAATAGATGTATTAGAATAATGAGATTTGAGGTTATAAGGGTGTATGGCTAAATGTGTAGAGACATGGGGGTGTATAGTATAATATGAATTATTACCATTATTATTATTATTATAATATTAGTATTATTATTATTATTTTATAATAATAACTAAATAATAATTTAATTGGGATAGTTATATCATTATTGGATTATAAGAGGTCGGAATAGAGATAATATAGTTAGAACGTGAAAAATAGAAGAGAAGCGTAGAAGTGAGAAGAGGAGAAGAGCACTAGGAAGCTAGGGTAAGAAGATTCACCGTAGGAATCAAGAGTCGACCAAAAATTTAAGGTAAGGGGGGATTCTAACACTATAATGGGTTGCCTAATGATGGGGTATGGTAGTATTTAGGTTTCATTATTGTATGTTTAGATTTTCTCTCTATTTGGTTGTTTTTGGGATTGTTGTACCCCAACATTTTTCCTCCATTTTCTTCAAGACATTTCTCACAAAAGATTTCAAATGCTCAAGGATTCTCAAAGAGTTGATCAGACAAGCTCACCTCCTAAGCACTGAGACCACAAATTAGGGTTTTGATTTTCACAAGGAAAATTGGACTTCTAATGCCTCAAATGACTTTTATGGTTTATCATAGACCTCCAAGAATGCTCATGCCAAGTTTCAAATCTTGCATCTCAAAATTGCTCAGTCAATTGCTCATATGAATGAAAATCAACTGTATTGGGTAAAAATTCAATTGTGATCAATATACAGTCTTCAAGATCTCTGGCCAACATAAACATTTTGAAGTCATATTCATTAATTGATCAAGGGTTTATCACAATTCTTCAAGAAAAGCATTCAAATCACCAAAAGGGCAAAATTGACCAAATTAGGGTTTCAACTGAGAATGACTGATCATTGTCTTTTGACCTAATACATGGTCTAATGACTTGAAGCATGATCTTAAGGACT